GACAGGAATGCAGTAGGAAATGTCCTCAGAAGCTTCTAACAACATAACCATAACAGAAAACCATGTAGCTGAAAAAGGAAAACATGTTACCGCTTTGTCTGGCATCTGGAAAAAGGACATAAGTATCTTTATGGTTTGAAACACAAACCTGGCTTTCACCAGCAGCTTTGGAGGTATTCAACTTGCCACATACTATCATTCTATGGAGCACCAATTCTCCTAAGAACATATGTGTTTGTGAGTGGATGTAATCCCTGGGAGTTAAAAAAAACAAAACAAACAATTTTTTTTTCTTTTACTAAAATTTTTATTTATTTATATTTTAAATTGTTCTAATTAGCTACATATGACAGTAGAATGCATTTTGACACATTGTACACAAAGGGAGCACAACTCCTCCTTCCTCTGACTGAACATGTTGTAGAGTCACACAAGTAGTGGGATCATACAGGTATCTAGGGTAATAAGGTCCGATCCATTCTACCGTCCTTCCCCACACTCCCTCCCCTCCCCTCTGCACAATCCAGAGTTCCTTCATTCTTCCCCACTCCATCCCCATTATGGATTAGCATCTGGTTATCAGAGAAAACATTTGGCCTTTGGTGTTTAGGGGATTGGCTTAATTTGCTTAGCATGATTTTTCTCCAGCTCCATTCATTTACCTGCAAATGCCATAATTTCATTTTTCTTTAAGGCTGATTAATATTCCATTGTGTACATGTATCACAGTTTCTTTATCCATTCATCTGTTGAAGGGCATCTAGGTTAGTTCCATAGTTTTGGTGAATTGAGCTGCTATAAACATTGATGTAGCTGCATCACTGTAGTAGGCTGATTTTAAGTCCTTTGTTTATAAACTGAGGAGTGGAATAATGAGGTCAAGTGGTGGTTCCATACCAAGTTTTCTGAGAAATTTCCATACTGCTTTCCATAGTGGTTGCACCAATTTGCAGTCCCACCAGAAATGTATGAGTGTACCCTCCCCGCCCCCAACCTGCATCATTGTCAACACTTATTGTTGCTTGTATTCTTAGTAATTGCCATTCTGACCAGAATGAGATGAAATCTTAGAGAAATGCAAGTCAAAACTTCGATAATTGCTATAAATAATGAACATTTTTTTTTCATACGTTTGTCGATCAATTGTATATCTTCTGTGAAGTGTCTGTTCAGTTCCTTAGCCCATTTATTGATTGGGTTATTATTATTATTTTTTTGGTATTGTTTTTTGAGTTCTTCATATATCCTGGAGATTAGTGCTCTATCTGAGGTGCATGTGGTAAAAATTTTCTCCTATTCTGTAGGCTCTCTCTTCATGTTATTGTTTCCTTTGCTGAAAAGAAGCTTTTTAGTTTGAGTTCATCCCAATTATTGATTCTTGATTTTACTTCTTGGGCTTTAGGAGTCTCCTTAAGGAAGTCAGGTCCTAAGACAACATGGTGGGGATTTGGTTGTACTTCTTCCTTTGTTAGGTGCAGAGTCTCTGTTCTAGGGCCTAAATCTTTGATCTACTTTGAGTTGATTTTTGTGCAAGGTGAGAGATAGAGGTTTAATTTCATTTTGCTTCATATGGATTTCTAGTTTTCAAGCACCATTTAGTGAAGAGGCTACCTTTTCTCCAATATATGTTTTTGGCACCTTTGTCTAGTATGAGACAACCATATTTATGTGGGTTTCTCTCTGTGTCTTCTATTGTGTACCATTGGTGTGCATGACTATTTTGGGGCCAATATTATGCTGTTTTGTTACTATAGCTAAGTAGTATAGTTTAAGGTCTGGTACTGTGATGTATCCTGTTTCACTCTTCTTGCTAAGAATTGCATAGGCTATTCTGGGTCTCTTATTTTTCCAAATGAATTCCATAATTGTTTTTTCTAGTTCTATAAAGAATGTCATTGGGCAAAACTATAATTATTTTATAAAACAGAACATGGTAATCGTTTTCAATAAAGAGCCAAATAATAAACACCTTAGGCGTTGCAAATCTTGTGGTCTTTCTCATTATTACTTAATAAGACCACTACAGTGAAAACAGCCATAGACAACACATGAATGAATGGGTTTGACTGTCTTCCAATACAACTTCCTGTGTCAATGGGTGATTGGGGCCTTGGATCTCCCAACCACCTACGTTAGTAAAACGTTCATTTGTCGATGATCCCTGAATCTTATGCATCCCTCCATCAGCCCTAATTTGAATATAGCTGAGAAAGTATATTTTTAAGTATCATGAAGTGTGCTGGCATTTTTTTTTTACACTAATTGCTTCTTTCAAAAAAGAGACTCCCTCAAACACATTCTAAGTACAATATTAAAACTAAAACATAAATCATTATGAACTCTGTTACCAGGGACTACTGCTAAATTTTCAAAAATTAATTCATAAAATTAAAAGACCTGAAGTGGGTATTTAATTATTTTATAATGCTGCACAACATATTCAAGGGCCTTGCTATGGTCTGCACTGTCCCTCAAAGGTGCAGGAGTTAGAAGCTGGGTCCTCTGTGTGACAGTACCAACAAGTGGCTGAGTGTTTAAGAGGTGGGGCCTGTGGGATGTGGTTAAGTTGCTGAAATTGTGCTTGTGGAAGGGGCTGATGTTCTCAAGGCCTCCAGCTGTTTCTGTGAGAGTGAGTTATTATAAAAGAACAAGCTTGACTCATGAATCCCTTGGGCTGAAAAGAAGCTTTTTAGTTTGAGTTTAGTTTGAGTTCGTCTCACCATGTGATCTCTTCTTCTTTAGGGCACCCTGCAATTGTGATGCCACCTACCACGAGGCCCTTGGCAAATGTCAAACTGATGGGACTACCCAATCTAAAACTTCCAGCCTCTGAAACAGTGAGCTAAATAAACCTCTTTTCTTTAGCAGCCTCCAGCTTCAGGTGTTTTGTTTTAGCAACAGAAACACACTATTATAGGCCTATAAATCTCACAGTAGTAACAAAACAACAAAAACAAATGACAAGTCAGAACGTTTCTTCTTTTAAAAAATAGTGTTTCATACATAAGTGTATAAAATACCTAAAAGCATGCTAAGAGTAGCATATATTACATAATTTTGGATTCAACTACAGTGGGCCCATTCTCACAACCACCAGCTTCTTAGCTGAGCTTGCTTCCCCATACCACAGGTGCCTTGGTCCCTGCAATGCTTTCCCAAGTAGATACTAACATCCCCAAATACTTTGTCTTTCTCCAACATTCATTTTGCCCATTTCACATTCCAATCTGCTAAGTATTTGTGAAAAAAGAGTAATGTCTTTATAATTTCATGAGCTCTAAAAATTACAAAAATCTGAAATCATCCCTCCTATATTATATGATTACAAACCAACAATAATAATATCAAACTACTGAATGTTGAGTTACAGTAATTTCAAAAATACTGAGTCATCAATCTCTGCAGTCTGTTAAATATTTCTTACTCTCCCTTACATCCATCCCTACGTCTTGAATTCAAGTTTATCAGGGTACCATGTCAAGATAATAAAATATACACACTTGAAGCAAACAGTATGCAGAGTTCTAACAATCCGTGTTTTCATGAAATCAGCACCACCACCATGATATGGACCATATTGATGATCACAAAACATTCCCTGTGCAGTCTTTCCATCTTCAACCCCAAATCAGTTACTGACTTAATCATGCATTTTCAAATAGCAACGTAGAAGGAAAATCATGGATAATGATGTGGAAAAAGGAAGAAGCAGCAAGTCAGGCAATGGTTATTGTTTTATTTGGGTATTTGAAACATATTCATACTGATTAATGGGAAAAGTCAAGAGAAAATTTAACTATGGAAAGAACAAACATTTCCAAACTCATAAAAATAGGAGAAAAGGTGAAGATACCTTGAGCAATCTAACAGAAGGTGGTAGTGGTGGGTTGTGGCAATCAGAGAAGGAGAAAAATAACTCTTAGGAAAAACAAAAAGCACAGGAGGTGGGTAGGTAGGTATGTAGTTAGGTAGGTAGATGATAGATAAATAGCAATGTGACCTATCTCAGAAATACCCATATACTATTATTCCTCTCACCTCCTGTTGGAAAACTCTTGGCTTCACGACTTCCTCTAAGGACTCCTAAGTTGTCCACCCTCTATATAACAAGAACACTCTAAAATGGTCCATGTATGCTCTCTCCAACTCTCCTCCCCACAGAATTTCCTTCCTTCCAGAATAGTGCTTGGAACACAGGATGTCCTCATTATTTTTTTCTGGAGTAACTAATGAAATTTTCTTATTTGTTTAATAGACATAGTGTGTGCTGAAATTAATATTAATTTATTTTGTTTACTTTTCTCTAGAGGTAACATTCATATAATTGGCTCAAAAAATACTTACTGAATGAATGAATTCTAAACTCATCAATTTTCACAGGGATATTGAAAATATAAGAAGAAATGAAATCAGGAAATGCACAAGGGTCCCAGAATCTACCGGTCTTAGTGCTCCCCAGCAGAGGAGTATCTGGTATGTGCCAGGTGCTAGGCCTACAGGCCAATCCTTGTAGCTCCTGTCCTTTAGAAACATAGCACAGGCTTTCGTTGTAGTCTTATAGGTTGAAAGGAAACATTCCAGAGATGATGAAAATAAATTAACTTACAGGATGATGAAAGTCAGGCCAACAAAGGAGAAAAGGGCTCTCTGGTCACAGGCAAGAAGGCATGGAAGATAATGGGCCAAAGTTCGGAGGCATAAACAACAGGAGGCCCACGGGAAGACGGGAGCAGTCCACCTTGCCTAGCACATCAAGTTGGAGAAAGGGAGTGGAGTGGCGTGGTAAATGAGAAATGGGAGTCAGTCATGCAGACCTTGGCTGATTGCACTCATGCATATAATGGCATGATTAGGTTTGCATTTAAATAGATTGTCTCCACCACTACACACAGGGTATGCTTAAAGGAAGTAAGACCAAAGGTGGGGAAATGAGCATTTATTATTCTAGAATCTCAACCAAGGAGTGGTAATAAGAGTTGAGGGTGGCTAGGCCTGGGGGCGCACCCATGTAATCCCAGTGGCTCAGAAGGCTGAGACAGGAGGATGGTGAGTTCAAAGCCAGCCTCAGCAATGTTGAGGTGCTTAGCGACTCAGTGAGATCCTGTCTCTAAATAAAATATAAAATAGGGCTGGGGATGTGGCACAGTGGTTGAGTGCCCCTGAGTTCAATCCTCGGTACAAAAAAAAGACTTCAGGGTAGAGGTGGAGCTAGTGGTGGGGCACATGCTTGGCCTACACAAGACCCTGGGTTCAATCCTCAGCACCAAAAACAAAACAAAGAATTGAAAAGAGAGGCCTGGCTGGGGTGATTCTTCATAAGCCAGTGGAAGATCTTGGCTGTGTGACTATGCAGCATGAGGGAGGAGAAGAGTCTAGTGTGACTAAGATGTTATGGCTTGGAATATCAGGATAGTGGTGCCACTAATGGACATTGGAAACAAAACTGGTTTGAGGGGAAGGTGACTCACTTGCTGTTGGACATGTTAACTCTGGGACATCAGAAGGATATCAAAGAAAAGGTTCTGGCAGACAGATGAATAAGTAAACCAGAACTCAGGAGAGGGCAGGACTGCAGATGCAATGCAATGGACCAGAACCATGAGTTCAGAAGAGATCAAGCCAGGAGCATATGTAAAGAGAAAACTGCAGCAAGGAGAGGAGAGATCAACAGTCTTTAACCTTTCTTTAGATAATGGCCTAATGAAGGCTTCTAATTGCTTCAAGTGGTTGGTCACAGCTAAAACGATCATGCAGTAAGCAATTATAGATTCTCACGGTCTCAGAGAGCTGTTTTCCTGAAGATAAGAAACATTTTTTTTTGTTTTTGCTGGGGGAGAGGTATGGAGATTGAACTCAGGGGTACTTGACCACTAAGCCACATCCTCAGCCCTATTTTGTATTTTATTTAGAGACAGGGTCTCACTGAGTTGCTTAGTGCCTCATTGTTGCTGAGGCTCATTTTAAACTCGCAATCCTCCTGCCTCAGCCTCCAAGCCGCTGGGATTACAGGCATGTGCCGCTGCACCTCACTGACAGGTTGTTTTCAATTTGTATATTTCTGAAACTGGGTTTCATATTCTAAAGGATCTTTGATTTCATCCTCAGAAAAGCAACCATTAAAAAGATTGTGCTTCTTAACAGTGATTCTTCAGGAATCTGAGACAGTTTTTATGCATGTGAAGTATATGAGGACAGGACTTAAGGATATCTGTTTGGAAGAAGGAAGATAGTTCAACTGGACAGAAGGAAGAGAACTGAAGTCACTGTGCAATCATTAGCAAGAGGCTCTGAGGCTGGGATGGAGCCTGAGAGTTGTTCTGAGGTGGGAGAATGGGAACGGAAGCCTTTAGGAACCACCCACCGCCCCTCCACTTCCACCCAAGGAACACTGGGCAAAGGCTGCCTCCAGGGAGGTGTGACCTTGGGCAAGAAGAGTTTGTCCTCAAGAAACTCTAGGACGGCTAGAGTTGTCAGCTGGGAACCAGCAAGCAGCAGTCCCGGGCAACTGGCCTAACAGATTCTTCATCTTGAAGGGGATAATGGCCACAGAATGGTGACCTACAAGTGATATTTAAGGATAAAGGGAATGTGGCTTTTAAAATCTCAATATGATTTGATCTTAATTTGATCGTGAAGCCCGAACCTAAATTTGTTCACTCATCTCAACATGCACTTTAGGAAAAGGCTGGGTTACCTGAAGTCCTACCCTGTTTAGAAATAGAGAAAAAGAATTATTCCTCAAAATAAAGTCATGCACAAGATCAAAAAGGCATTTATTGCAAAATTCCTAGAGACTGACTGAAAAACTCTTTGGCAAGGAAAGAGTAAAATAATAAGGGAGAGTGTTAACTTACTGAACTCCTAGAAACAAGGCAGATTTGTCACGAAACCGGAGCTTAGATTTCAGCTCTACTCTCCCGCGTGCTCGTGGTGAGAGACCACAGCCTGGTACTATGGTGGAGGCATGGGGGGCAGCCCCGCCCGGTGCTCACCTTCTGCCTCCTGAAGTCATCCTGGCCTTGCAGCAGGTAGTACTGGCAAGGAGATGCCGGCATTTCCTTCAACCTATCTACACTCCAATGACAGCCCGACCCCAGTAGACCTCAGGCAGAATCAAGACCTGACTGGGGATCTTAAGGATATCAGGGAAAAGGCTTTGACATCGCCATTTCGCAGGCCCCTTGGCTGTTCTCTTCTTCTTCTCCTCATCTCTCCCAGCAAGACCTGCCCAGAAGGGTGAGGACGGAGAGTCAACAGGGAGCCAGCCAGTTGCACCTCCTGACTGAGATCATGCCCAGGGAGACCCAGAAGCTGGATTTCTCCATGGCTTCCCCCTAAACAGGCATTGAGCAAGAAGCCACAGAGCAAGTTAGGTATGTGATGTTTCTGGTCATCATGGAGGTGAGTGAATACTTCCTAAACCATCAATGACAAAAAAAAAAAAACCCAAAACAACAAACCCCCCCAAACCCTCAATTCACTGTGCTAGAAAAAAGAATGATTTTTCTTTATATTATTTTGTGGAAAATATTAAAATTCATAAATGTCTGAAAGAGAAAATTTGAGTATAGGTGACTAAAAATCTTTAGGAAAGGAAGTATTATAAATATGAGTCTGAAACTTAGTGATGATAACTTTTTATGGTATTTTTCAATTTTTAGATATCTGTAATTTGTGATTTCTTTTCCCAGTCTGAAGAGATACCTAAAAAGTGATCCAGTTAACTAATTCTGCAGTTCTGATTTGGGAATCTTTTGCAGTACTGAGGACTGAACTCAGGAGTGCTCTATCACTGAGCTACATCCCCAGGCTGCCTCAAATGTGGGATCCTCCTGTTTCAGCCTCCAAAGTAGCTGGGAATACAGGCAGGTGTCACCATGCCTGGCTTTTTTTTTCTTAAGGAGCCTGGATATAGTAAGTGCTGGAGGCCCCTCCAACTTGGATCATCCCTTGCTTATGAAGTGCAAGGGCTCTTCCAAGTAGCCAAGAAGAGACAGAGAACCAGCCTCATAACTCCGTGCATGCCTGAACTTGTCTTATACTAATTCATTATGTTTTTTTTTAATGACATAATCATTGCCACTGTGGGCACATGTTTATAGTGGAGATAAAATAAACATTCAACTACAAACTCAGCATACTAATTGATTATGACTATACATGCAATAAAAGTTTATGGTTAGGAGAAGACAGTACCTATAACAGAAGGGACTCAGTATATATTTGTTGTATGATTGGGAATACATGTATAAATGGGTAATAAATAATATTTAATAAATGCTGTTGCAAATAGAGAAGGTTTTTGGTTTATGTGGAAATTGAGGTTAGTTTTGAGGAGTGAATAAAACTTGAATAGAAAGGAGGTTATCCCAAGCTAATATAGACCTGCATAAATAATATTATATTATGAGAAAGCCTAAAAGATGCCACTCACTGAAGAGCATTGAAGGAAGCCAAAGGAAATACACATGAATAGCACCTTGGAGATAGATTGCCCATGACCTTCAAAGCCGAATTGAGGAATCTAATTTGATTTGCTATGCAATGTGAAACTACTTCAGATTCTTAGTGATGTTACCTCATAATTATAATTGACAGGAATTAGTTGTGAATTAAATGAATTAGTTGTGAACTAAATGAATGATTAAAGAGCAAAAAAAAAAAATATGTATCAGCTAGTATAAAAACTCAGGCCAGATGTGTACCTCTTAGAAAACTATGACTCTAATCTTCTCAGTGGCCTTTCTACTTGAAAGAATTACTTTGTGATTCTTGGCTACCCATGATCATTCTTTTTACAAGAAAGGAGACATTATCAATTATTGAAGAATGAAAATTTATAGTTGACCGCATGGTAAAGTTACATGTTAATTATTAGTTCTGTAGGTAAAGAATTGGGTGATAATTAGTTGAAATCTAATTAGGCTTAAAATCTTTCAGCCTCCCTAACATATATGTACAACAGAGGCTTCTATTTGGACGGTGACACTGTTATGTTTTGAATATGAGGTGTCCCCCAAAAGCTCATGTGTGAGACAATGTAAGAAGGTCCACAGGAAAAATATTGGGTTATGAGAGCCTTAACCCCTGAGGGGATTAACTGAGTGGTACTGAAGGTGGGTGGGGTGTGGCTGGAGGAGGTGGGTCATGAGGGCTGGGCCTTTGAGGTATCTATTTTGTATTTGGCAAATGAAGTCTCTCTTTCTGCTTCCTAATCATCCTGGGAGCTACTTCCCTTGGCCACACTCTTCCACCACGGTGTGCTGCCTCACCTCCAGCCCTGAGGAATGGAGTCAGCTGTCTATGGACTGAGACCTCTGAAACTGGGAGCCCTCAAATAAATGTTTTCTCCTCTATGATTGTTCAGATCAGGTCTTTTAGTCACAGTAGTGATAAAGCTCACTAAAACACATACTATTTGTAACAGTAACTGTGTGGTTTTGAAAACATTTGTTTTATCAAGTACTTATACTATTTTTGCACTTTGGCCTGCCTCCTAAAGCTGGACATTACTCAGACCCCTATAAACCATTAATTGTACTCTCACCATAGATAAAAATTTAAAAAAAAATAATTGCCCTAGAAAATTTTTAACATTCTGTTTCCCACCCAAATGTCTCTTTTGCTACTTTAACTTTACCTTCTTCATTTAAACCATTATTCTACTAAATGAGAAATTACATTTTGGAACTTACCCTTATATATTCATACTCTAATACCTGGAGCCCACCGTGGATACCAATATCTGTAGATGCTCAAGTCTTTAATACAGACTTACATGACCAACGCGCTTCCTCCCAAACACCTGCTATTCTCTCTAGATTACTTACAATGCAGTGTAAATGCTACATGAATAGCTATACTATTTGTTTAAAAAATAATAACCAAAAAAATGTTTTTACATGTTCAGTAAAGACACAATTTTTTTCCAAATACTTTTTATCTATTGTCGGTTAAATCATAGATGTGGAACTCATTCATATGGAGGGATGACTGTAAATGGACAAGATAAAAGTCAGCCAGAAGTTATTAGATGATTTGTTCCAGGTTCCCACAGTAAGGTTAGTAGAACAACCAAGGGAAGACACCGATTCTACTTTACTCACCGCTAACAAATGTTCCTATTATAATCACATTGTCTCTCAGCTTTCCCAAGTTGTCCATAGAAACCTTACAATTTGACTTTCCACTCAGTATGTGCCACTGTAGAGAACAAAAGGAATGAAATCCCTTTCTTCATACATATTATTTATTTCTCAAAGTAAATTATTTCTCAAAGTAAATTAATATATTATGAATATATGTCATAGACCTATGGAGAAAAATAGAAGTGACTTTCTGATAGATATATTTTAGTCAGAACTTAATATTTTAGATAGTTTTGATCAAAAGATTGAGGGAGTGGTGACACATTCAGTTACTCAGGAGGCCCAGGCAGGAAGATGCTGAGTTCAAGGACAGTTTTAGCAACATAGCAAGACC